ACGTATATCATTTATATTTAAAATAAATATTTAATATTAATAGGTACATTTCTTCTATATGGCACTTTAAAAAATAATGTTACATAAAACATTTTGACTAATTATATCAGCCATTATTTTCAACCTAGGAAGTCTGATAAAATTAAAAACTAGTACAAGGCCTTTAGTGTGTCATATTTTTAGATTAATTCCAAATATAGAATGGAAAAAAAGCATTGAATAATAAAATAAAATATATCTTTTTGTTACATTATTGTTAAGAATAAATAAAACTCTCTCTGCCACTTTATACAATCAATAACAGTATAAACTATAAATTAAATGTATCACAAGATCAATACATTATATGCCTAATTGTTACCGTTTCATCCTCTGTCATCTGTACGAGAGCCAATGGAACTTGAGGTTTCTCCACATACAGTGCCTGAAAAGATACTAATGGTTCTGGAGGTTTAAAATTGCGATCAAACAGAGCCAACATTTCTTCCCGACCATATCTATGTTCTGCCAATTGATATCGAGGAGTACCCAAAGTTGTGGTTCCTCCTCCACCACCACCAGTATTGCAACTGTCTCCTGACAAGTTGCGCAACCTGTATACATATCAAATAATATTAAGACAATGACAAAAAATCTTAGATAATAAATATAACTAATAGAATGATTCATTATATTATATTATACATTATTATAAATAAAAAACTAATTTCTTACTAACAAAAATAATCACGTACCATTCTGGACCAAATTTCATAGAATCAGTCATGATGAACTATCTCCTGAAAGAAAAAGAATAATTCCAGTAGTTTGTAATAAAGCAATCATAAACATTCTACAAAAGTAAATGTTAAAAGGTATCTTAAAAAAATATTCAACACACAAAGATCTGTATGACATGATGCTTCAAAATGTTCCTTTTCATTGAATTTCCATTTTTCATTGGAAAACAAATATTTGCAAGATTAAGTGAAAACTGAAAGAACAGTAATGCAGTGTCTTTTGAAATATTACAGATAGATGGAAAAATTCGCATTCTGTTGTGAAAAAAGACTTGTCATCTGTTACATCCCCGTACAGATGTCTGATACAGCAACAAAAAGAAGTTACACAGTTATCTCGTGAATCATGGACATGTCAATGAGCCTGTACCTGTTGCTCAAGGAAATATCGTGTGACTGATGGTCGCGTGCATGAACTTGTACAAACGTGAGGAGACGTAAAACGTCAAGATTTGAGAATAACGAATTGCAGGATGGCATAACAGACAGCAGTGTGGAACTTATCAATTATACGCAATCTCGTAGGATTTTTCGATATTCTCAAACGACGAATAATTAAGAAAGGATCAAACGTGTCTCGGACACGTATCGCGTAACAGTATGCCTGTTATATTCACGACATGTTTCCAGATCACGAGCGGAGGCGATCTCCGTGAGCCAAGGTGGCAACATTAACCAAACTTTTTTTGCTGGCGAACATCGGGAAAAGTGTGCGCGCGCGGTCGAGCCTTGCAGTCGCGCGAAAATAATCATCCATCGCGTCTAGCACGGCCGCGGCTGAGAGCACTAACGGCGGCAGCATTCCTGAGAAATACCTTTACTGATCTTCGAAATTACTGAGGACAGCGATACAACACACCAATATGGCTGATGGTTTTTTTTAGAATGGAGCAATGGAGCGCATGCGAAAGTTCCGTCAGTGGTATACTTGGCGAACGTAAAAAGTCACCAGAAGCGGTCCATCTTGCTACCAAATTCATAAACTACATACATTACTCATAGCGTTTTCGAGTGAACGGATTTTAATCGACCGAAAGTTAATTAATGGCGTCATTGCATCGTCTTCGCCAATAAAAGACCTGAATTCATAGTAAAATAGTGATTAATTGATCCGAGATGGATTAAAATCCGGTCACTCGAAACCATTACAAATTGACAATTTTTATGGAAACTAGTCATAACGTGTTGCGCATGCGCAAAAATTTCTCCAGCGAACGTTCTTGGTGAAGTGCTCTTCCTTCGTTCATTTTGAATTTACATCTCGTTGATGGACGTCAAGGGATGTCGCAGCTTTCCAGGTAAGTCGAAGTTATCGGCGAAATCCTTCGTCATCCGCGTGCACTGTTTGCTTAAATATCTTGCTATGAATCTTTCTGCACACAATTTTCCTTGAATCTAATATTTTTGACTATATTTTAAGCGCAGTGTTCAACTACGTTTCTTTTATTCCAACATGATGATTCTTTGTCTCGTTCGTATGATCATTTCTTGATTACAATTTACACGTGATTCTGATTGCGCTTGTCGATTGTTACAACGGCCGCATGTTCGATGCTGAAAAAATTTAGAGATATTCATTTTTCTTTTAGCGTTGGGTTAAAAACATCAAGCGCTGGAGAGCACCTGCTAAGTAGCTCGCTCTTATCACAATTCTTTTAGTGAGTATTATTTCGTTTCTCGCATTTTCGAGAAAGTACAATTGTTTTATTAGCATTTTTGCCTTCTTAAGTTATATTTAAATTATTTCGATTTTTTGCTAATTAACATATTCACGTGGTATTTGAAAATATCACTTCAAAATGCATCTTATCGAATATTTCATGATTCACTTTTCATAATTATTTTTAAAAAGAATATTTTATAAAGAATATAGAAAATTTTGAATTATTGAATGCAGAAATTTTTTCAAGAGTGTTCTTGCTCTTAATATAACCTAAATCTAAAGACACGTAGTAGATGAATAACTTTTATTTGTGAACATAAATTTGTTCATTTTGTTTGTATATTTTATACAGAGAGATTTAGGAAAAAGCTACATTTATATGATGTATAAATATCGCCCCAGTCTGAGAACTATGAATGAGTTACTTAACTGATAAAATTGTTTTTCTAATTTTTTATTTCTCTCTGTCACAGACTTTATTTTAATATGCATGTACTTTCTTTATAGAAAAAGATGGAATAATGGATTGTAAACATTCCTCCTTAAGATTGGAAGCTTATGTGAGTTGTAACTCTTGTTATATCACTATTTTGAAAAGTGATAATATCGGTCAAAAATTTATATGAGGTTATGTATCGTAATTCTCTGTGATTATTGAGACAGGATTGGCAATATAAGCTAAATTGAGCCAAGAAACAGCTAACTTTTAACTGAATTGTATATCGATTATATTATTGCATTGTACTAAAATTAAATTTACTTTACAGTTAATTATTAAAGTAAAGTTAAAAGGGCTACATATTTTTACGCATACCAAATAGTCTGATATGATACATATTTATGATTTTTACAATGGAAGTTTTGTGGCTGCAATTACAGAATATCAGCGATAGTTTTTTGACCACAGACTTTCAGATTGAAAAGTATTAAAATTTTTCAATAAAATTTGATAAATTGCTATATTTAAATAATTACGGAGATTTAAACATGTGTTCATGTAAACTTTTTTGCTTTTATTGACTGATACTATTGCTTCTTTGTTTTTTTTTAATAATATAATATCTAAAATAAATATATAACAAATTATGGAATTATAATAATTTGTATTTGTTTCTAAAGTTTTTGGAGATTTTTTCAGAATTATTGATGAAAAAAAAGATGTACATAAAATGAGTGCAACATATTACAAGCGCCATAAAGCGGTTTTCTTGTGCTTATACTCCCAAGAGCCTAAGAATGTTTACAGGATGAGGCTGCAAAATATATGCACAAATTGAAGGCATTTTTGTATAGTACAATAAAGAGACATCAAATTTCTAAGAAACACAGTTAAAAATGATTGATTTGGACATAAGAAAATATTTGCTTTGTGTGGAAATAGCAACCTTTATCTCAGGAATACATGTCCAATGTGCCAAAAAGGTGTCAGACTATTTTTGATAATAATACCGACTGGAAAATTTACTTACATGGTATTAAATTTTTATAATTAAAAATTACAAATTACATTTTTTTTTTGTTTTTTTAATATATATATATACATTTATATGATGGAAAAATATCGCCCCAGTCTGAGAACAATGAATGAGTTACTTAACTGATAAAATTGTTCTTCTAATTTTTTATTTCTTTTTGTCGCAGATTTCATTTTAACATACATGTACTTTATTTGTAGAGAAAGATGGAATAATGGATTGTAAACAAGGATTTCTACTTAAGATTGGAAGCTTATGTAAGTCGTTATTATATTCTTGTTATATTTTTTTAATTTTAAAATAATTTCTTAAAGTGATTAATATAATTAAAGAGATTTTTTAAATGTTTATTTTATAATACTAAATAATTTCTTTGATTATCTCTTACATTTGTAATCATGGAGAGAAGATTATTTGATAAAGTAATATATATTATTTCGACAACTATAAGTAATTATTAAAACTAAAGGAAATAATTTTTTTTTTCAGAACATAAGAAAGAAATGACAGAAACTTTATTATTTTAATCTTGAAACACCAGTTTAATCATAGTTTATCAATATTGTAATTAACAATATGATGAGCAACCAAAACTGCTCCAGTCAATCTGAATGCATGTGAAGACTATTGTTTCTGAACATATTAAGAATGTCAATAAAAATTTATAAACAGCAGAACAAAGAATAATATATATTATTCATGTTCTTGTTGTATCATTTTAGACGTATGACCATATGAAAAATGGATGAGGGCAAATCATGACGAAGTAAAATAGAAATTATGTAAGTCGTAGAAATTTCTCAATTTAAATGTTTTAGAATTATTAATATGATTGAAGAAATTTTGAAGTTTATTTTTAATTAAAGAGAAAATGATGATTTTTTAGTTATCCCTGTCTTACATATGTAAATATGGTGAAAGAGATTGATCTGATAAAATAATTACTGATTTCGACAAATTAACAAATAATTATTAAAACTAACAAAATTTTTTTTTTATTTCAGAATATGAGAAAAAAAATGATATATATATATATATAACATTGAATTTTACATTACATTGGAGTCTTGCAATTAAGTAAGAATTTTTTTGTTTTCTATATATATTTTTCTCGTGTTGATATGATGACATACAAGCATATGTCTGAAAATTATTTGCTGGAAAATTTTTATTCTGATTACGCTCAGTGTTATAATTATTTTAATAATCATAATAACTTTAATAATTTTAATAATAATTTTTTTTTAGAACCTAAGAAAGAGATGAGAGAAGAGCATATAATAATGAATCTACATCACATTGGAGTCTCATGATGAAGTAGGAATTGTTCTTTGTTTTCAATGGAATTCTTTGATTTGTTTCATGATGACTATTGTACAAGCATATGTCTGAAAATTATTTGCTGCAAAACCTTTTAATCTGATTCTCAATATTTCAACTTCAGTATAAATACCAAATTCTATAAATATTAAAGAATATTCTGTGTTTGATTTCAGGCTAGTTATCTTGCAATCGATAACAATAGAATACACAGTGTGGATCATATAAAAGGTAAATTCAAAGTATTTATTGATGAAAACAATAAATATTTTTGTAATGCTTGAGATGTATACGTAATGTTGTGAAAATCAAGTACGATGATGTCACAATACGCTATTCTGATTACCCATGATCGGACTTGCCCTCACTGATCTAAATGTTATGGATAAGAATTCTGGGTATTTTTTTTTCTTAGATATCTAATACATGTAACTTATTTTTATTTCTTCTTTTTTTTATTTTGTTTTTACAGATGTGTATGGTCATTAATTGTGCGATTTTGATGTCCAAAGGAAACCATTTATGAATATTCAAAGGTAATTAATCAATGCTTGTTGCAAAACTTGTAATCTGATAACGCTTGATGCTATAATTATTTTAAAAATTGCAGTGGCTAATTCCAGAATTAGAGTATATTTTATATTTCGAAAAAATTTTTTATTAATATTTATTAAACTTAATAGGATGTGTGAATCTTCACAAAGTCACTGATTTATGATAAAACATTTAAACTTTTATTTTATTTTTTGTTTAATGATGTTTTTCTTAATATACGCTATGATTGTGTGGTGATAACTTCAAATATTTTGCTGAAAAATTAGAAATTACGTAAATTAGAATTAACAATTATTGTCAGTACTTGACCAACTTTCTTCTGTCTTTCAGATAATCTCGAAGAACAGAAGATAAAGGAAGTAACATTGTATGAGAATAAAATAAATAGCAAGTTCCATAGAAATACAATTCTTTTATTGGAACCTTTATATTACATCCAAGGTAAAAAATGCAAATACGCGTTTCTGTTAGACTAGATATCCATTTCGCAAGAACGTAACATCGGTGAAAGATCGCACAAAGGTACTACTAATTTGTATTTGCAATTTCCATCAATGATCGAACGTTGATTCAGCGTTATCGCGTTAAGACCTTACCATACATATGAAAAGTTTCATCTTTTGTTCATTTTTGTTTCATATTCCAGGATTATACCATATATATATATATATATATATATATATATATATATATATTTACACCACAAACAATAATAATGAATGCGATAGAGTAATGAGAATGAAAACATTAATAAACTTCGATTTTGGAGTTTTACTTCCAATAAGAAAAAATGGCAAGCATCCCATCCCGACTCTCCTTATCTCCGAACTCCATCAAAATAAATCCTACTTGAAGTGAGTGCGACGCAGAGAGCAGATTGTAATCTAGCGCTCGGTGCATGATACAGGGACGCGAAAAATATAATCGCACAGCAGGTATACAATATATATAATGTAATGTAATTACACTATAATACATAATTGAGTGTCAGCCGGCCAACTATCCCGGATAATCAATAGCGTGTAAAGATTCAAAAAAGTACTCTTATTCTAAGTCACCAACAAATAGCTCGTACAATAATACCTCTATTTTGTATCTAAAGTGTGCAGTGCTATACGCCTGTGTTATTACATTATAAAAATCACACGCGTTCACGGGCGAGTTGGTCGCATCTTTTAATAATTCGTCGCCGGCCATGCCGAAGGCCGGTGCAGTGGAAACTCGTCTAATCTCGTCCTTGACACGCACCGCATGACCGTTTTCTTGAATATCACGATGGCCACATGAGCAAGAGATAATTACATCGAATGTTCCGTTAGCGTGAACGAGTTAATTGATATTGCAATCGTACTTGTCCCTTTATGAATCACATTGTATGTCGTCGGTGGTAATTTCAGATAGCGCAGATATAAACTCTCAACGTTGCCGATGTTTCGAAATTCGATTTTAACGTTATAAGATTCCGATCTTTGCGGTTAAAATCTATTTCTTTAGTTGAATAAGATCAACAGTTAAAATTACGCCGTTTTTTGCTTTAGAATTTAGTAGTGAACGTGTTACCTGAATCCAGAAAGAGGGATACTTTGTGTCCTATTAATATGAAATTCTCGAATTACCTCGAAGAGAAAAACAAAAAGTGTAATTACAATAGAATTATCATATTTCTTTACAATTTCTTTACAAACTGTTAATCAATATTAACAACTGTTATTTATACATTGGACACGACATACCTCTTCGAAGGATTCACAGAATATTTACAAACATTTCGGACACATCTGCAACGTTTTCATCGATATGGTTAGACATTATTTTATACATCAGACTCTCAGGAAGTTATCTTAATTTTTTTTAATCAATACAATCGTATCCGTTGTACGATTAAAAATTTACGAGCAAACTTTGTTTTTAGCTGTCTCTTTTTCGAACAAAGAAGTCTTATTACTTTCGCGAAAACTCAACATTCGAATCGACATTCATTTTCGTTATCACTATCTTCCTGAGTGACCGCTAGCACCTCCCGCTGAATATTTATATGAATTACGGCACTTTCGACCCGCTATACCGATACACTATACATCATATCTACATTGAGCATGTCACCTGCCAGTTGTCACAACTGGAACCGGTAATTCGTGATAGGATCGAAGTCTTTTTGATGTGTGGAATTTAAGGCCATCACGTATCCCCATAGTCGCATGGCGGTCGCGCAGACCTTCTGTATCTCGCGGACCTCCTCGAAGTCCAAGTCGGCCCGCCAGTGGAACGGCGCGACTTTGGAATTCCGGAAGGTGCTCGACACACCACCCACGTCGTTCTTCGTGTGCGTGTCCAGGAACCTCTTCACGTTCGTGTGAAAGTTCAGACCGTAAAAATTGTAAAGCTCTTTTACGTGCTTGTAGGGGTCCACTGATAGATCCTCGTAGCGCACCACTCTGGTTATTCAACGAAACTGTTTATTAAACGTTCAATGAAGAGATTATGAATTAAAGCGATTTTAAATCGATTGAAAACTATTCTGCATGTGAAACAAAAAAATTTTGATGATAAATATAGGTTAGGCGGAACAGCGTCGCTGTACCTGAAAGAATGTGGATACTTCTTCGAGAATTCTATCGCCGCGCTAAAATCCGACACCATGTCGGCGCAAACCAGAGCCGGATCGGAGCAGTCGGGTTTCGACGGGCACCATTCTCTGTGCTTTCTGGATTGCAAAATTCCTCTCGGATCACGGACGAGTAGAACTAACCGCACACCCAATCTGCAGTACAAAATGCATATTATTAGTTTCAAAGCGACGTAATGGTTGTTAGACAAGCTGAGTACGAAAGATTTGAACATTTTGCAAACGTTTTCATTTTATCACAATTATCACATGATTTCTTACTCTTCTTCAGCTAAAAGCCTCTCTGCCGCACGCAGCCTCAATCGCACAAGCTTCATCGATTGAAATGGAAAGAGTCGGCAAAATTTGGAGACGAAGCGCGGATCCCAACAGATGCGTTTATGCGCTTGACACTGCCGCCATAAATGCGTGTTGTGATTGAAGACCCAAGGATGAGTCTTCCCGTAATTCAGGTAGCGATCTGAGATAATCACGATTACACACAATTGTCAGATGATGTAATTTCAGACGAGCAGAAATTGTAAAAGTATAAAATTACCAAGCTCTTTGTATTCGCAGTTCATGAGCGAGATAATTCTCGTCAAGGATTCGTCGGCGAATGGTGGCCCCCTGATTTGTACAATACCGTAATCAAGCAACGGTTCATAATGATAAAAGTTGGCCGGATGCGCGTTCACTACATCACCGAGAAACGTACTGCCGCTTCTCCAACTCGTTAGAATTACGCTTCTCATGGGTCTACCGCCTTTCTCCATCACTAGATCGTCCAGCTTGCTACGGTAAACAGGTAACAGTTGTTCTTCCTGATTTTTAATGCTACGTTTACGAAAAGAAACTTAAAATATTATTTTAGTAAATTAAAAAGAAATTCTGGTAAATCCAAAAAATTTTCGAGCAACGTTTACCTCACATTTACTCCGTATCTTCCATTTGGGTATTCATAATTCTCCATGTCCCTTCTAATCGCTCTCCTTTGCTGATCAACCACATCCTGAATTTCGGTAATCGTGGCATTTTCTGTAGTTCCTGTCATGAACGCCTAAAAAATCAGATTTAACTGATTATCAAGCGGAGAGTTATTATCGACCTTTGGAGTTAGTAACATTACAAAAAAATGCAACGTTAAAAAAACACTTCAATTTTTAAACAACAAATTTTAGACATATATGCAAAACATCTTCGAAAACTAAACATAGAAATTTGGAATTCAATCGCATAGAAGGAAATAGATCTCGCATAGAAGGAAATAGGCATCATACATAATCCTGTAAATTTAATTGAGATAAAATTTTAAATCAGACTCATACAGGTGTTAATTTATTTAATCATTTATTTGTACATCTTCATTTATGCTATGAAAGGAATTAAATACATATAATGAAAGGAACACTATTCAGATTTCACGAGAAAAGAAGGCGGAAGTTTATTTTTAGACATCCAGAAGCAGAAGAAAAATATTAGTGACGAGCTAGCATGAGTAATGCAATGATAAACATTTCATTAAATCGATATAACTTATTTGATAAATATAATTTTCACACAATAAAGTAAGTTTACTTAAATGAATCATCTTCTAGTTAAATGCATCAGATCAATATGAATGCATAAGCGCGTATATGTCATGCAATAATATCGTTTTTTTTATCTTGTTTCAGAAAGCATTTGCTGCGTTTTAAAATTCAAAAAGTCTAAGCTCGACCATTTGTGCCTGTCGTATTGATCAATTTGCATTTGATTAAATTTTTCTAATGCTCTGTCTAGACCGGAAGATGATTCTACTTGCGGCTCATTTGAGATGGCTAGTTTGACGGGTTAAAATTATACCGAAGTTGTTGTTTGGCTATCAACCGTATCAAATAATTTTTTTATTCAATTAAATAAAAAAATCATTTGGATTGATACGATTGAAAGTCAACTTAGTATCTGTCTAATCACTCATCAAACGATCTACTCGGAGCCATAAATAATAGGATTATCCTTCTGTCTAGATTAGACATAAAAAATTTTTCTAAAGCCCGAGTTAACTCCTGTCTTATTTGTTTTTCTATTATCAATATCAGTTAATAATTAATACAATAAAATAAATATAATAAAACAAGTTAATAACAGTTAATAACAAGTAATTTATATTGCACACGAGTGTGTTCTAGAAAATGTTCTAGAAAAGTGATTCACAGAACTCATATTTTATTACCTACCTACCTACTTTATTACTTGGGGAGCTACTACATAGATCAGTAGTAAAATAAAAAATAGGAATTAGTAAAGAACAGAAAGCTAATTGTATATGTTTTCTTTTTTATGTTACATGTGTCAATATTGCGACAAGAAGATAAGGCACTCTACGACAAAATTATATCAAGAAGCATCTATTATGGATGAACGGCAGCATTTACACATTCAGATCGATGCACATGTGCATACCTGGCTTACTGTGACTGGTTCTTGGATTTTGGTAGTCCGTGGCCTTATCTCAACATCCTATATCGAGAAGAAAGCATCGACGTTTTAGCGGTTCGATTGTGCATTTTGCATCGTGAACACGAAAATACCACTGATCTGACATAAGGTAATAGTCTTTCTCCCTTTTTCTCATGTCTAGGTAGCGTGTTAATGTTTTTAAAGGATGCACAAGTGCGAATACAGTGAATATACCGACGAATGCTTCGTGAAACTATTATGTTATTATATCAATTAAGAGTGATTACTAAAAGTGCTAGTCTACGCAAGCATGCTAATTTTGAAGAATGACTGCATTATAAATGCTTTTCTGGGGTAATTAGATTCCATCATAAGACTTACATATTTATGTGTAAAATGATCTTTATCTTTTTAAATGACTGACGCATACGTACACATTCCGTTGATATACTTATCTACTAATTGACAAAAAAGAAATTAGAAAAACGTATAAACAACTCGTACAAACTCATATATTGCAATCCATTTAAATATTAAAATTTAAATAAATTTTTTAATTTTGCCCTTATCTTTACTCTCCAAAGACTTGATAAGATTAATAGCAAACCCTAATAGCATTGGGGTCGATAAAATGTTATCTAACATTTTAATTCAAATGATAATTTATAATCCTGAAATGTATGAAAGGGAAAGAGGACGAAAGGTCGAAACAGGGAGAAAGAATTTATCGATCTTTCATGTAGTTTCGTTGCCAAGTCTATCGTTAATGCGTAAGAGATGGATAAAAAGAGTTAGGTGCAAAAGTTAGACTTTACCGTCAGAAAGAGCGTGTTTGGCGTGACTCAATTTAGAGCAATCCCCACCTCCAAATTTTTACTGACCGATATCACCGGCTGCAGACGATGCTCGAGGTAGCTGCTGTAGCGCTGATTAAACGCTAGGAAGAAGAAGATGCAGAGGGACGCCAGGCCTACCAAACCATAGAAACTCAGCCGCTTCGACATCCTTATTCCTATAAAGGCCAGGAACTTAAAAAGATAAAGATAATTTTACACATATAATATTGGAAATTATTAATATTAAAAATAATAGTATAGCGATTGCAGATATAGCAATTTTGACAAAATATTTCAATAGAAAGATATTGAATTAATATGAAAAATTGATAAAGAAATTTTAAAGATTTTATTATAATCTCTGTCCAATATTTTATACAATTAGGCGACAAATTATTATTAAAAATAAATAAAAATAATATAGCCTTCAATAATTAAAAATCAAAATAAAGAAAAAGTAGTAAAATTCAATTCAATAAATCCAATTTTGTTCTTTTTATTAGAGATATGAAATTTTTGTTTTATAAGTAGACTTCTACAAACAGTAGTTGAATCACATAATATGCAAAAATATTACATAATTACTGACATAATTAAAATTTATCTTCATGTTTATCTTCAGAAGTAATGATTATGAAATGACTGCACTTCAAGATAATGATGACAATTTAATTTCTGCGCTTGTTAAAATTTCTTTGTTAGTCGCATAATCGCGATAAGAAGCGGTAGTAAATTCAATTAAACAAAATCGCAGTAACAATAAAGAATAAGCTCATTTTTTTTCTTTGCAGATATTCGACAATAACAGTAACACGATAAGAAATGAGCACGACGAAATGATCGATTGCAATTAATAATTTCTGCTAACGGGGACGCGATTCGTCTCACCTTCTGCGAAATGAAATTCGCCGTTAAATAAAATCTGGCCATCGTTGGATCGTGCCGATGGAAATCCCTTCATTCGCCGGATATCAGCACTATTTACCGAGTCTTATCGCATCGCGGCATAATGAGCGAAATAATCGAGAGTTTATACCAAAACAGCATCAACAATCCTGACGCGTGGAATTTATCAATGCATTTATAAACGCAACGCACGTACGCCGCTAAGTACGGCTATACGAGCCGACTATCATCTCACGTGTGCATTGAGCGCGCAATCCTTGCATTATGCATTCGAATAAGAAAATCGATTACGTTTGCACTGTCAGTGGAATCCGGAGTAGAGACGTGCCTCTTTTTCACCGTTCTGTCGATCGACAACCGATCTCTACAATGCGCGGTCGGAGAAAGAAAGCTTAGTCGACCGCGGCTGCGACTATTACTATATCATGACACGATATGCGGTCGACAGTGAATTACAGCCGTCCGGATTTTGCACTCGCTGCGTCTACGATCGCGACGGCCGGCTCGCGTGGAATCTTACAGCCGCATCAGGCTGCAACTGAACGGAAACGTATAGCGCGTATTTGCTTGTGGCGACGGGAAAACAATTGTACGGTGGCACGCGCGCGACACACATTCCCCTCCTCGACAAAGCAGCAGCGTTCACGAGGAGTGCGGTGAACGCGCGATCTCCGCGCTTTGTGATAAGCAATGACATGACGATAAATATTTGACAGCGATTTCGCAAACCGGACGACGTACGGGGGATGGGAGGGCGGGCGAGGACAAGGTCGCGCGCACGTTCATCTTCCTCTCGCTTTTTTGTTTCCAGCACTCTATTGCATCCGTCTTAACGCGACGGAACTCTCCGCGGAGTTTGCTCTCTCACCTCGTGCACTCGCTACCGTACATTCGAACGACGAACGCTTGACATGCCAGCTCAATCTCGACGCTGGAACGGCGGTGGAAGTCGCACGTTGCGGCTGCGAGCCGCCTCGAGGACACGGCCGAAACGTCGGACGACATTCATCGAGACTGAACGCGGCGATTGACGACGATCGTGGCCAATTGTGGCCTACTAACGACTGGTCGGACACACCAGAGAAGAGAGCAACAATGACGAAGGAGGCGGAGCCGTATTGCGGCTCGTGCCAGGCGCGCCGCAACGTGGAGGCGCAGCACGATGCACTGAACAGGTTCGTTCGGCCGCGTACTTTCTACACCTTGCCCTTTTCCTCTTTCTCCCTCTCTCTTTATAGCCAGGTTATCCATCCATTCCATTTCAGACGCAGAAAGTGCAGCTGAAGTGAACGGATCCATAGGCGTGATACATGTACAGTTGTGAATCCTATATATGTATCTATATATATATATATGAATTGCGGATGTACTTATTGGATTTGGTCGGCCTAGTTGTACATTTTTAATCTTATACTTCGATCTTTCTTCGTTCTAAAAGAAAAGGTATATGTTCACTTAGCAACTGGAAAAACAGACAGATTTATTCGAGTTTTTCTTAGTAAAAATATGTTTAAAAATCAATTAAGAACTTTCTACGCAATATTTACAAAGATATTTGATGCGATTAGCAATATTGATTTCTAATAATATAATCAAATATTGATTTCGTGGATAAACACACGATTATCATTGTAGTGTTTGACAACATCAAATATACACTTCTACTTCAGTCATTCTTCTTTGATAAAAAGCATGATTTTATCTTTTTTATTAAACATGTTTTAAACGTTTTCTATTACGTAGAGAAGCAAAATATATAATTAAAATGACTAATATATAATTTTAGCATGATGTCATGTTTTGTTTTGACGTATAAATTTTTTTCTTTTAGGAATGTCAGTTTCCGTTATTATCGGAATCTATATCAGACATGCGATTTCCGTTGTTATCGATATTCACCAAAGTGCATTGTAGTAATACTCGTGTCCGTCGCGTGGTGCCACCGGCGACACTATGAATTCGCATTGTACGATCTGCACCGCGCTTCAGTCGAATGCTGTTGCTCGAACAGCGCATTTGTTTTCACGGGAAGAGATTTCACAAAACGCACGCGCGCATCATCCTTCTGTCTACTCTCTTCCCTCTCGACATGGACACAACAGCGTAGCTGCTTTTGTCGAGTTGCGGAGTCTCGAATATCATCAGGCTCTTCTTTCTCGTTCGTTGTCGCTCTTTCGATTTATACGTTAACAGGACGTGTAAGTACTCTCTCTTTCTCTCTCTCTCTTTCTCCCCCTCCGTTTCGTTCCTCATCCCTTTCCTCTCGTTCGTCGGGGCGAAACCGAAAACTCGTTATGCTCCGGGCCTCTCTTCGTGAACCGGTAACATCGCGATCAACGTGAGGAAGAGAGCACTCGATTTTCGCGATCGGATCTGTCGTTCCCGTGCTGCTGTTCGCACGCGCGGTGCTCAGTTCGCCCCGCGAAAACATCGAAGTGTGAGAGAAATAGATAACGCGAATCATCTCCCGACGAAGATGCGCGTCACCGTGCCGCGATTCTTCTCGTGACGCGGACGACGTGAACGGAATTCCGCGCGACGGAGTCGACGGTTTTCGGGAAGTGGTGCGCCGCGGCCCGGTCTCTCCGCCACGACCGCCGGCTGCTGTTCGACGTTTCGACGAGAGGCGGACCTCGCCGCCGGAGGAGGAGGAGGAGAAGAAGAGCTTTCGGGTGCCGAGAGGATGCGCGGCTGAGCAAATCGCTGGTGAGTACTACACGATGCGTCTGCTTCTCTTGTTCTATATGTATACGCGTAAACGTACGCCTCCGTGATTGCGAAAATGCGTGTAAAGACGCGATTACACCCACGACTGCAATCGAGTGTAGTCCTATTGGTGTTTTAACCTGTCTTCCATTTTTGCTTCTAAATCGTTGCCACAACAATAGACATTCGTGAATAATTTGATTAATCATGATTGTCGGTGGACAGAAAATATTTTTTGATCGAATAAATTTTATTGAACGATGTAGTGGTGCAACGAATTTATTTATTTTAATGTTAACAATGTTTACGATATTTATTTTCTGTCCAAAAGAATAACATTTTACCAGTACCTGGTGTAATAGAATGTATATAAATAATTCATCTTTTTTTTTTTAAATGCAGATTATTTTCATAATTTTCAGTTTGTGTACGCTTAGGCGTATAGTAGATACGTTAGCTGTTTGCATAATTTATTTTCTATCTTATCACAAGGAGTCTATCTATGTATTTCATATATAAATTTGGTGAAACGGTGAATCTTGTGTCATTCAGATTTCACAGAGATCTTTAACCTTGCAATATAAATAAGTGTACACATAAATAAGAGCGTGTGAAAAATGTAATCGAAATTACAGATTAGCCAAAAGAATACACATTAACATACATTAACACAATAATGATATGTTTGGTCGCAGGCTTCTCCTGAGATTAAATTTAAATTTTACGATTTCGAATTGAATTCACTATTACATATTCATAGAAATAAGTATAACTTTGCGGATATTTCCATTATGGGATTTTGGTAGATTCAGATGTATATCAAGAAATTTTGCTGATTGCCTTATATCTATGCAAAATTAACATTGAAAACAAATATATCTCATTCATATAATATTCAAGACTCATATCAGCTTGATTTATCAGGTTGACAATTTATTTATTAACAATGACAGTTTGACCTTTAAATGGCAGACAATACGGCAGACGATTTAAAATTATCAAATTTATCGCGTTGATTGAATGCTAATTAAACTGATAATTGAGTAAAATTAATTTCAGTTATGTTGCACGTGTTAAATTACGTTCGGTGTGATTTATTCAAATTGATCATTAATGTTCTAACGATTAGTATTTCTACAAGCGCGAGATTTTTGATAAAGCCCACTTGAAATGTTATCTGAGTTCTCGTCGGAGAAAAAAATCGTATTTTTTGCGACGGCTGCATAACGATCGTAAACAAACGGCATTCGGCTGCAGCGAAAGCTCGTTACGACGAATGTCTAGTCGAATGTTTGCGTCGCTTTTGCTATATCGGAGCTTCGTTGTTTGGTACAATAGCGTGATATTCAATGAAACTTCGTTACACCGTAAAAATTTCATTCCGTGCGCTCGTTGCAGCAGAATTTCGTTGCGTATTCGCGAAATTTCGTTGCGCTTTCGCATCAGCGTAACACTTTTCGTTTACCTCGCCAGCTTGCGACACGAATGCGCTTTTCCCTATGACTCCAATTCGGTGGTCGCTATTTGTCATACGATGGGGGTGGAAGCATGGAGTTGTCGGACGTTTGAAAAATACAGTGTTCATCATGAAACTTTACCATGTGCAAATAAAACTAATCAGAGCTGGATATAATTCATAATTAGTGATTTAAAATGATACCGCAATTCTTTATATTTATAAAGGTTGACAGTTAATAATAATCTCGTGACTTGAATGTGCGAGTTGATGGCAGTAACTCACGATATATGTCATACAAAACCGAACTAAAAATTTCGCTTATTCGAATTATTACTTCACTTATAGTTGTTTCAGATTATTAGGATTATGAAGATTGTAGCACGTTTTTTTATGATCTTTTTAAAAAAAAAACGAGAACTAGATTAAAGGAAAGAAAGTTTGCAATAAAAGACGAAAGAAATAATGATTTCTTCTTCTCGATTTCTCGTATTTCTTTTCTTTGATATACAGATACTTTGAATTCAAACTTGTCAGCTTTTTTCTTTAGTAAAAACTTCAACTGTTTATAACTTTTCAGTACAAACGTAAAGTGCTGTTGATGTATAATGAAATGCGAGACGGAAGTAACTGGAGCCATTAATTGCTCGTACAGGATTTCAAAGGATTGCTTTGTTTTTTTGGTATACACTGTGTGTACGAGATAGCGTTATCAAATTTTCATTAAGAAGCGAGTATCAAATTAATCACAAATTCGCAGTAACAGATCAAAGAGTCAGTGTTTTCTAGATTTTTTTTTATTCGATCCACAGATGCCTTAAATTCTAGCGCAATTTTTTCCTTAACAAAAATTGTACTTTTCTATACTTTGAAAAAATTGATTTTAAATATTTGTTTCGATATTTTATGAGAGAAAACTCTTTTTTTTATGTCGATTGATTGAAGAATTAATTGAAAAATCTCTAATTGAAAGAAAAGTTTTTCGATGCCTTGTATATGCGTTCTTGATCATAAGTGTCTTAGAACTATGAGATATTCGATTCTATTGTGTGCGATCTGAATTCTAATCTGTGTATACTCGCCGCGGAAAGTTTCATAGGCGCATAATCTCGTTTAGGCTCTCGTATTCGCTGCGATGCGAATTGTTCGCACGGGGAGGATATCAGACCGGCGTATATCAGCTTTCGTTGACAATACAGGAATAATTCAGAAGCAATTACCTGTAATCCGGATCTATAGGTGACTTTACACGGATAGTACATGGAAATCGTAGAATCCACATAAAAGATTGGTCACCCAATTTCATGACCTGGAACCATTCTAAACGAAATAATAATCTGAATAAATAAGAATGACACACGTATGGTTTTTCATGGCGTGTTATTGATACGTAAAAATTGGAAAGAAAATTCTTCGGAAAATTAAAATACAAATAAAAGTTAGGACAATTTGGAAAACATAAAGAGCGAGAGAGAGAGAGAGAGAGAGAGAGAGAGAGAGAGAGAGAGAGAGAAGATAGGAAATATTTTTCCGGAGTCTTACGAAGTTAGACTTAAAGTCACCCAATTTTACTCCGCGCAGTGAAATGTCATTTTGTCGCGGCGGTCTGAAATTTACTGTCCTCGTATCCTGCCGGCAAATTGACGGTGTAA